TGAGATATCCCAAGTAGGGTTGTCAAACAGCTCGTTGTTCGGGAACAGCTCGTGTTCGGCTAGTTAAGAAGCTCGTGTTCGGCTTGTTCGCTAAGTTAACGAGCCGACACGAACAACAAGAACAAATATTTGTTCGTTCATGTTCGGCTCGTTTTGGCTCGAAATACTATTAATCAATTATATATATATATTTTTGCTGAGTAGTATTTTTAAAAAGATTAATTCACTACAAAGTTACAAAGATTTATAATCAATTAAAAGTATTAATGAAGAAAATAGAATAAAAATTATTAATTTAGATTCAAATGATGTTTTGAATCTTGCCCCAATCCTTAACATCTTATAGCTATGTGATTAGGGTTGTCAAAACGATTCTTTGTCCGTGAACGGCTCCTGTTCTGCTAATGTTCGGCTAACTAAGCAAACGAGCCGAACACAAACACACTTTTTGTGTTTGAAATATAAACAAGTCGAACTTGAAATATAAATGAGCCGAACACGAGCTAGCCTGGGCTCGCTCGTGTTCGTCTCGTTTACACCCCTAATCCCAAGTTGTTCTACACATAATAAAATTAGTAAGAAATATAGAATTAGGTTTTGAATTCCACAAGATTTTGGACATTCTTTTCTAATTTCATAACCCAAATTATTTTATTTCCACAAGATTTTGGACTTATTCTTTTCTAATTTCATAACCCAAATTATTTTATTTATGTATAAAAATGTATATTTCTTTTGTTAATTAAAATAATGATATTTTTTATATAATATAATAGATTTGGATGATGTTTATGTTGTAAGTAACATTTAGGGGTTACATATGTCAATACCTATTAAGCGGGGGGGTATGTATGTAAATGCCCCCTTATCTTATTGGGTTTAAGTCATTAATGTGGGCCTTGGGCCCAGAGAGCACTTAGCACAAAGATTAGTTCTGATTTTAGGATGATTCTGATGAAACTTCGATCCAAGTAATTTGATATAATTTATTTAAATTAATAATATATAAATATTAATTTTTAATTTTTCTTTTAAAATTACAGTTTGGTTGAAATGTGTTTTCTTCTATGTATTCGGATTCCTTTGATAATCTTTTACATTTGAGAAATGTTCGCTTAAATGAACAACCATTTATTCGAAGTATTTTGGATATTTTGATGTTGAGACAGCGAAATGCTAGCAAAAGTCGTGGAGATCTCGTGTTCTGAAATGAAAGAGAAATACATATAACCTACAAATATATTTTAATATTTTGTAGGCATTAGGGGAAAAAATCAATATGCTTTAATATTTTGTTTAGTTCACATTAAATTGTTGATAATTAAAATTCAAAATAATTTAAAAATACAATATTTATAAAGAAGCAAAAAGTAGGATTAGCAACTAGTTAATGTAAACAAAAACTATGAAGTGAGATTTAGGGAGAGGAGTTGAGAAGAGAATAAAATGGAAGAGAAAAGAGAGGATAAGAAATTGAGAAAGAAGGGGGTGTTAATTTCTATTTAGTCAAAGGTTGGAGAAAAATATGAGAGGAAATTTAGGACATATTCAAGATTATTTTTATTTTTTATTTTTAAGAATATGTTTATTTAATGGTTATTTTATAATTTTTACTTTTATTTTTAAAAATAATCCATCCTTTTCTTAAAATCACTCTAAAATATTTTTAAAATACTCAAATTAATTTTTTTCATGTTTTAAGAGTTTGAAACATAATCATATTTTTTAACTTATCAAATAAATTTTATTTTATATCAAAACAAAAAACAAAATAATATTTAATTCATGATAATGAAATTCTTGATTGCAATCTCCTTAAATAGGTAAGAGCTAACAAAATAGCACATGAACAAGTCAATTAATCATTGATTTGATGTTGTCACCAAAGTATTCTTTAACTACTATAAATATATCACCATATGATGTATCTTGGTAGAATAAAAACAATGGGGTATCTATTGCTTTATTATAGATCTTTCATTTTAGATTTCAAATATTACTTTTAGTTTCCTAGTTTTGCATTTGTAGTCTTATGTTTTTGTTATCTTCATGGTACCGAAGCAATGCCCAAGCTAATTAGGGTACATCTAATGTACTCTTTACCTCTATCAATTTTCTAATCTCTCCTTTCCTTGTTTTGATCATAATCTTCCCCCTCTTGGAAAATTTCCAACTTTAAAAGCACAAAGAATTAGCTCTTCTTTCTAGGCAATGCACTGAAATAGCTTAGTCTCTTTGGTTTTTTTATGACCGAAATGAAAAATCAAGTCACTATCATCTTACTACAAATAATTATACCATATGGTGAGCTTAAATAATAAAATTTTCTCTATCAATGACTTTCTCGGATTCCTAGATGGAAAAATGCTATTTCCTCTGATACTTATCACTAAATCAGGTACTCCGCTTACAACAAATCCCCAGTATTTTATATAGCTCCTTATTAATAATAATTTTCAATGGCTCTATACACCCTTAAATTTCCTGCTATTCTTCCTTATATACTTAATCATCCTACTACTTGTGATATTGGGATGAATGTTGAACATCATCTACAACCAACCAATAGATTACAAGTAACACAACTTAAGAATGAAATTCACCACACCTCTATGTAGATCAAATTTTTGACCTAAAATCTTTCTACTATCAATACATTAGCGGATAATATTTCTATATTAAGCTATCATATCGCCAATATATATATATATATATATTTCTTTGTACTCTTAATATCCAAATTTTTTTGTATCAAGAATTTAAGATTGTGATTCATACTAAATTACAATGAATTGGTTTGGATGACCTTTAGTCATTACTCTGTGGTGAAAAAAATAAAACTTTCCAATGATAGTATTAAAAATGAGCAGTCACCCAATACGCACTTAGCTCTTATGACATCAAGGGGCCATACTTCATATGGAACATGAGGAAGGAGTTGAAGTTAGCCAACTGCTTAGGCAAGGACATGCTGCCAATACTCTATATCCACCACATTGTGCCCAATATATCACAAAATAGGTCACTTTGGTATTCAATATTGGCATAGAACAAATTTTGAATAATTACCCTCTAATCACGCTCTCAGTACTACCAATACCAATTGGATAAGACTCGAGAGCATTAACACCCCTCAGTTTAGATTTAAATCAATTGTAGTTGGCCAGCCCAACAAATGGAACAAAGCAAGAAATTGTAGGTAAGGGATAAGCTATTCTAATTCAACACATCATTGATGGTATACATTCTACACCTACTCGTAAACTAATTCTCATTGATCTTCAACATATTCCCCTAATATTGCATAATCTTCTATCAATACATGCTAAAAGAAATACAATTAAAACCAGCGATAAACTGATGGCCTAGAGTGTATAGGTAATTTTGTCTTTATTTAAGGCTTTTCAAAGGTTAATATAACTGACAGCTTTACTGCCAGTGAAACCGTGAATTTTTAGTGAATCTACTTTCTTACGACCATCAAATACTAACTGATTATCATAACCATTGGTTCATACAAATTATAAAGCAACGACCAGACGCAATTAGAAAGTTAGATCATTGGCTTTTGGGCAATTAATCACTAACAATCATGATATGTTAGTTGACGAATAAATACTTCAATTGTTAAGAAATTAAAAATTGGCAGTGAAATATTGTCAGAAAGCTATTGAAAAGGCACTTTATATCAACCATTTCCCTCTCTCACGTGTGTCTTTTCTCCAGAGCCGGCCAACCCCTCTTGCATCCCATTTTTGCAAGTGTTTTCTTGAGTTCTTCCACTCAAAGTATAAGTAGCCTCTATTCGACTATTTCTCAAAGTTTGTATAATTTCAACGGTTGGATTTATTGCATTTTGAGATTAAGTGTTTTAGAGAAATTCATAATTTTAATTTGGTTTTCTATATTATTGATGTTGTGTCTAATTGTTATATGTTTGCTGCTGAGTACAATCTCTAATCTCAAAGGCCATGACAAAAATCCTGATCAACCGTTTAAAATAAGATATAGGAGGAATTGCTAAATCCATGATTTAGGATGAGTCTTATACATTTATAGAAACAAGGCCATAAGCAAGCTCCAGAAGTTTTCTTAATGGTTTCTACTTAAATCTGAAGCGTAGTTTTGTTACGGAAGCATAGATTTACCTTCGCACAGCTGAGTTTTTGTGTCATTCTTGTTCACCTCTCATCATTGTCTTTCTTAGCCTTATTTATATTTGTTTTCTTTGTGTAAACAGTAGTTGATAGCGTTCTCTATGAATTATGTTTCTCCTCTTTTTTTTTTCTGATTGAATGATATCAAGAGTCATTGGGCTTCCTTTTAAGTGTAAGTTAGCATTGAGCTTCTATATATCCATTGAAAAAATATTTTATTATTTATTGCAGTGGCCATTTTGCTGTTAAAGAGGTATCTTTGCTCGAAAAAGGAAGCTTTGCTCAACAATGAATTCTCCAAGTCTTAATTTGCTGATCTTATGTTTAAATATTTGAATTTCAAGAAGGGGCTTTTACATGTATTTCAGGCATAAGGTGTTATGCATGTAATAATTGGAGTTTTGTTGTTAGATATGTAAATACATAGGAATATGAGTGGTATGTACGTATATCTTGTTTTCAAGGATTCTTTCAATGTTTAAGCTTTTAAGAATTTGTTGCAGATTTTTTTAAACTGCTTCTATCATTGTCGTTTGTGTATATGTTAGTAACTTGGTTTTAGCTCTTTTGCATTATGAATGAGTTGAGCTATAGCTTCCTGTAAGTTTATGCATATTTACAGTCTTTACCTTACAAGTGGGCTAGAAGTGTTTTTCTACTGAGATCAAGAATTGTTATAATACAAACAATTTTGCTGAGTTATTTAATTCTTAGGTTAGTGAAGCCAGAAGCAAACTAGTAGTTGATTAAACTGATATGTTTCAAGCAAAAATTATAGAAGTAAGAGCAAAGAGAAAGCTAACTGCAAACAACTGAAATGGTGAGTTAGTTCCATATGTCGAGGACTACTTGAGAGAAATATCAACTAAAAAAGAACATGTAGTGGTAAAACCGTTCACTTTATAAAGCTGAGATTGAGGGGAGCCATGAAGTGCCAACAATACAAGGCCAAGAGGCAGACCTAAAAAGAATCGAATTAAAAACTTTCTTGAGAGCAACACCATGAAAAGAAAACATGTACATAATTGCGGGTGATGAATTGTAAGAGTCCGTTGAGTCAAGAAAGTTTGCAAGTGCCTGAAAATAAAAAAAACTACACTAATGCTCGAACCATACAATTACAACCACTGGATTTAGGGCAAAAGTACAAATAAGAAGAGATGGAATGGAACAACCTCACTGAGTGAAGCTTTACATTTGCTCCATTTTTTATAATTTTGGATTTGATTGATGTTTTGGGTGTTTTGTTACTACTTATGGTTCTTTGCATTCTCATTTCAGAGAGAAATATTTGCGTAAGTAAGACGCACACAGAGTTGCGTACATATGAGGTTATTCGGAGGGTACCTATAGCCTAAGTGTAACCTACCTGTACCCTCCGAATAACCTCATATGTATGCAACTCTGCGTACGACTTACGTACACAATTATTTCTCCATTTCAGGAGAAGGTTTACTTTCACATTTATATATATAGTAATTTGTGGTTACTAATGAGAAATATTTATAGACTAGCAAATAGCTTATCTTGTATTATAACTTTCTTGGCTTAGTTGCTCCACCTCTAGCACCATTGTATCTTAAACAGCAAATAGCTTTTCTTGTGCTTTATGCATTAATTTAACATTTAAAATTTAATGAACACAGCATCCCTACTAATCTTATATTTTACAACACAATGAAGTTCATTTAATCATTGAATCTTCTCTCTATATGGAGTTCAGTACCTGCATTTACATACATATCACACAAATCTAATGAAAATGTCAAACTTCAAGTCATATATTTTTAAATTTCTGAAAAATGGAGGAATGGGCATTGCTCCTACAATAACCTCTGCAGGTGAACAAAGGTGTTGAACTACTAAGCCAACATAGCAGCTGTTTAATTTCATATATTATTATTAACTTAGCTAGATTTCACCTGTTGCAAAAAGAAATATCATTCATGGGCTGCCAAGCTTGAATGAGTGCTTATCTTTGATAATTCGACAGGGTGATCCATTCTTCCCACATAAAAGTGAGAATGGAATGCAGAAGCTCAAGTGTGATTATAATGATATTAGTCCCTCTTGAGTTCATTTCAGTTGCACGACAATCAAATTTAATGAGTTTGGTTCATCCTATTTAGAGACAAAATGCGAAATGAATATATATGTGAGAGGGTTGGTGTAGCTCCTGCGACGGACAAAATTAAAAAAAGTCGTCTTAGATGGTTTGGTAACATTAAATGTTGTCATCTAATGATCCGATTAGGATCTAATGATCCGATTAGGAGAGTAAATGTTTTAGATTTGACTTATGTTAAGAAAGGCAGAGGTAAACGTAGGAAGACTTGGGCTTATTGTATAAAAAAAAATCTTAATTTATTAGAACTAGATGAAAATATGACACTAAATAGCGCTCAATGGAGAAAAAGGATTCATGTAGTCGACCACACGTAGTGGGATTAATGCTTTGTAGTTGTTGTTGTGTATAGTAGTATAATTTAAATAGTGAATTTAAAGAAAATCTAGCCAAACATTAAAAAAAAAATTTAAATCTAACCCTCCATTAAATTGAAATTTTTTGGGTTCCTTCTTCTTTCGGTGCTCTATCTCTTTAAGATGTAAATCCAAATCTATTAAATTCAATCTAGTACAGGCAATGAGGAGATCATGCAACGGATGCAACATACCAAATAAAAATATGGGTTTATTGGTTGATCACATCAATGGCGGTCGATCGATGGAGCCGAGGTGGTCAATCAAGCTAGCATGGGTAGCTCATCGATAGAGAGTGGTCAGCCGATATGATGGGGTTGGTGGCAGCCAATTGATCAGGTAGATCGAAGATGGTCAATCGGGTTGGGGTATTCGGTCGATCGACAAAGGATGGTCAGTTAATACAATCGGGTCAGTGGTGACCGATTGATCGAGTGGATCGAAGATGGTCGATCAGGTTGAAGTGTGCATTAGAATGACGAAGGATGGCCGATCGATGAGATCAGGCCGGTGGCTGCTGATTGATCAAGTGGATTGAAGATGGTCTATCAGGTCAGGGTGTGCGACCGATGGATGAAGGATGGTCAATCAATATGATAGGTTTGGCGACGGTTGATCAGTCGAATGGACCAAAGATGGTCTATCATATCGAGGTTTGCAGTCAATTGATAAAGCATGTCAATTGATGTGATTGGGGGTAACAGATTAATCAAGTAGACTAAAGATGGTTGATCGCTTTGGGGTGTGCGACTAATCAATAAAAGATGGTCGATCAATCTGATCAGGCCTGTGACGGTCGATTAATCAGTGGACCAAAGATGTTCGATCGAGTTCGGTGTGTGACTGATTAACGAAGTATGGTCAATCAATCAGATCAGGTCGATGTTGGTCGATTGATCAAGTGGACCGAACATGGTCGATCGAAGATAAATGGTTGATCTATGTGATCAGTTCAGTGGTGACTGATCGATCAAGTGGACCGAAAATAGTCGATTGCTCTGGGATGTATGAACGAACGATAAAGGATGATCGATCAAAAATGAGCAAGCCAGTGATAGCCGATCGATTGAGTATACCAAAGACGAATGATCAGGTCGAGTTGGGCGGCCAATCGATGAAGAATGGTCAATTGACACGATTGATTCGGTGGAAGCCAATCAATCAAATAGACTGAAGATGATCGATCGAGTTGGGGTGTGCGTCTAAACGATGAAATATGATTGATCTATGAGATCGGGCCGGTGGCAGCCCATCGATTGGGTGGACCGAAGATGGTCAATTGGGTCTGGGTGTGTGACTAGTCATGAAAGATGGTCGATCGTTACGATCGGGCTGGTGGTAGCGAATCAATCGAGCATACCGAGGATGATCAATCGGGCCAGGGTGTGCAGCCGCTCAATGAAAGATGGTTGATTGATAAGATCGGGCTAATGGAAACTGATCGATGGAGTAGACCTAAGATGGTCGTTCAGGCCGGGGTGTGCGACCAATCGATGAAGGATGGTCGGTCGACACAATCAGGCTGGTGACGACCAACCGATCGAATGGACCGAAGATGGTCGATCGGGCCGAGGGGTGCGACCGATTGACAATGCATGCAAAAATGAATGTTTCTTTTTTGTTAATGCAAATTTTTGAAACCATGGGGTGTACACAATAGAAAAGCAAACACATGCAATATGAGTCCCAATTAGGTTCGACAATGAATCGTGATCATCCTAGCGAACTCAACGGAAATCTAGAGTGAGTGATGAAGACGTGTACTAATGCATGTTACACGAGGCAACAAGATTTTCACCTCCATTTGCATGGCACTAAATGGAGTTGCAAATAGGTTTCTCCGTGATCAAGAAGACGATGACCAATGGAATGCCTTTGTCGATGGATTTCAAACGTCCATCTGAATGAATGAAATTACCGAGGCAAACGATGGATTAGTACAACCCCGACTTTCCCATTTTGACTAGAAAGAATGGGGTAGGTTTTCCTCTTTGGATTCATAAAGGCTTCCTCCACGCACACAAGAATTCTAACCCAACTCCCCTAACATCAAAACCTAGAGGCTCTAACAATGAAAATCTCATGAGTTCAAAAGATCTCACCTGATATGTTCTCTGGGCTTGTCCGAGCTCCTTTGAGGTGAGGATGACAAAGCCGAATCCCTTCTCCAAGATATTGAAGAAGCTCTCCTCGCCACAGAGAATGACAAGACCGCTTCTTCTCAGCTCTTTCCCCAAATGGCAGCCGATTCCAGTCTTCTCCCCAGCTGAGTCAGATATCCCTCGGCTAAAAATTTTCATTTGGCCTCTTTCCTCAATTGGCATAGCCCCAAGTATCAAAAGGATACCTCTTTTGGGTAAAGAATCAAACAAAAGGCATTGTCCAATGGTCCTAGCCATGTTGCCAGCTAAAATCCAGGGATCAAAGGGCAAAACAGGTAGTGCCGGTGTGGTCAAGCCGAACTCAGACTTGGTGTCTGTTTGGGACAGCTATAACTTATGTAATAATCTACTGATAAGCTGATTAAAAATAATCTGTATAATAATCTACTGATAAGTTGATTAAAAGTAATCTGTTTATAAGCTTGGTGCGGTGGCTATTATAATTTTTTATTTTTTAAAAAAAAATTTTTTATTTTTTTAAAAAAGTCACACCGCTGTCAGAAAGTTGTCACCACACCTTACCTAGCAGGTGCGGTGTGAAAACACTGTTTTCGACGTTTCGAAAACATATAAGCTGTCAAAACACAGTTTATCCAAATAAGCTAGGTGTATTTTCAAAACGTCACCGTAATAAATAAACTGCCACAAACAGATCCTCGATCACGCCAATATTGATATAAGAATAAAATAATCCAATATAAATAATATAGATTATTTAATACTTTTCACGTTACCCAACAAATTTATAACTAATGGAGGCGGTGTCCTTTGTCCTGCCAATTGTGCTTGTCCTCCAAGCAAGCTGTGTCTACTTTCCTCGTGAAAAAATATAAAGTGAAAAAAATTGCCATGCAAATCAATTAATTTTTTGGTTGGGAGTCTAAAATTTTAACATGACATTTTAAACTTAAATTTGTGGACTTATTTGCATCAATTAAACTCTCTCAAATGTCCATAAGTAAAATAAATAAATCAATCAATAAATTCCCACCTGTGGTGGAGAAAAATTTGTGTATTTAAGACGTGCTGCATATGTCAGGGAGGTTATTCAGAGTGTATTGAGGGATTATATCTGCGTTATATCCCCTGTAACCTACATGTACCTTCTAATAAGTTCTACGCTTCAGTTTTTTATATATTTGTAGGTTACAGATAGTTTACATGGAGGTTATAGGGGGTATAACGCTGATATTACCCCCCAATACCTTTTGAATAACCTTCCTGACGTACACAGCGCTGCGTACGTACGTCTTACGTACGCAAATTTTTCTCCCTACGCTGAGGGCGGTCAAAATGGAATAAAACAATATAATTATACTTTCTATACCATTTCGATGCTTGAACTTTTTAATTGAGGAGTTGGTGAAGTCTCATTTGATTCTCGTCTCCTGAAGCTCTTTCGCAATAATGATAAATTTTCATCCTTTCACATTGCAGCTCGTATCGTCGAATTTGACGATCGCACCATTTAAAAGAAATTTTGTGAACGTTGTCGCTGTTTCAAACTAAAACGGAGTTACTAATTTGTGAGGCTAAGACAAATTGGATGAGGGTAGAACTGAAAATAAATAAAAAAGCTAATGTTTATTCAACTCCATTAAAATTTTTTTTTTGATATTATCATTTATATAAATCTGAATTTATATAATGTCATAATATTATGTATGGAAAATGTGTATTTTACATTTAAAATAATGACAATAATAAACATTTTTACATGATTTTAGTATTAATATGCATATGAATATGAATATTTAGAAATATTTGGTAAAATAATATTCATAAGATTTAGCAAGGAATTTAGTTTAAAATTAACCAAAGTATTAAAAAACGCTCCATTAAATCAAATTTTCTCGTGTTCTGTCTTTTCCCTCGTGTTCCGTCTCTTGACATAAATCCGTATCTATTAAATCCAATTGCGAGATGGATTTATTCCGTCGTCGCTCGCGAACTCCGCCGTCGAAGATAAATTTACATTTATCAGATTTGATAAATCCCAGTTAACTTAAATCTAAGTTACAGCCAAACACCACCTAATTTGTGCTAAGTCATTTTGGTCTGTGGATCGAGAACTTGGTCCTTCAAAGTCTTCTATATGTGACCTGGGCATTTTTGCAATTAAATCCTCTCAAATTTCCTTAAAAAAACTCTAGGCATTAAATATGTAAATGTACATAGGGGTGCAAACGAACCGAACACGAACGAACAGAACTTGTGTTTGTGTTTTTGTTCGGTTCGTTTGAAATTTAGTTTGTTTGAAATAAGCTTGTGTTCGAAATTATTCGTGAAGACACTGTTCGTATCCGTTTCTTAACGAACGAGCCGAACACGAGCTGTTCGTGAACGATGAGTCAGTTTGACATTCCTAATATTAATATATATAAATAATATATTATATTAATTATATACCTTATATTATATAAATATATAATTTCTATATTTGTATCTTACTAATATAGTATATTAATATATTATTATTATACTATATTATAATAATAATATAGTATAATATATTATCATTCATAATTATTTTATATTTCGAACAGTAACGATTCAAACACGAACGAACGCCTTACTGTTCGACATTACTGTTCGTGTTTGCTTCGTTTAACTAACCAAATGAAAAAAAATTTGTTCACGTTGCCTTACTGTTCGTGTTTGGTTCGTTTAACTAACCAAAAAAAAAATTTGTTCACGTTCGTCTCATTTACTTATTGAACGAATCGAACACGAGCTCATTGACGAACTGAACACGAACTGTTCGCGAACAATGAGTTTTTTTGATAGCGCTAAATGCATAAGAATTGGTTGGCATAACTCCCATTCAAATAATAAAACTAATTAATATAATTCCAAAATCGACCAAAGAGAAAAGTCAAAATGAGAAACTCATTCGAATTTCCAAAGAATCGGTGGGCCGCTTAATAAAACCTTTAATTTGATTTTCTTGCCGCGGAGTCAACTGCGCGATCTCCACCTCGCAAACTTGGTAGCCAAACGCGTTGTCCACGTGCTCTTTTTCCCTCCGTCATCTCGTATTCCCAATTTTCCTGGCCGTCCCACACTTACCTACCAAACGCGCTTTTTAAAACGCAAAGCAGCCACCTTTCTTATAGCAATCAATCAAAGAACAATTCATAACAGCAAAAGCCCTTCTACCAGCTAACGCAAACGGTAGAAGAGATAGAGAGAGTTTCATGATGGTTGAAGAACAAACAATGGATCCACTCGAGCTCCGACTCGGCAGCCTCGGCTATGGGCTTACCACGTCTTGCTCCGGCGCCGACGATACTTGCTTCGAAGATTCTGCTATGCAGCTGTAAGTTCATTTATCCGATCAATGCGAAGCTAGCTTTGAGGCTATGTTTGTCTTCAAAAGTTCCGTTGTGGAATGGAACTCCTCATAAGCATTCTGAAATGATAAAGCTTTCGTGTTTTTTCACTTCGGTGTTCGGAGACGTTCCGAAAGCGTTCGGTCATTAAACATCTCTTTCTCCCATGGAGGTGTTGAGTTTGATCCGACGAAAGGCGGAAGCCTTCTCAAACAGAGATTGCTTGTATAAAATTGAAGAAAAGTAATCTTCTTATGCTCAATGGATTTATTAAATTCAAATTTACGCCCCAAAAGAGACGGAAAGCAAGATTTAGAGATTTAACAAGGAGAGTTGGATTTAATTTTTATTTATTGTGTTTAGTTGGATTTAATTATAATAATTTATTACTCATCATAAAATTTCTGGAAATAATAAATATATGTTTCTATATAGAGTTTACTACTTATTCATATGGTAGGCTGAGCTTTTTATGTCTTCATGTGAATGAAGGAATGAAAATGATGCAGGTTAGACGAGCAGCGCCGGCAAATAACAATCATTTACAACGGTCGAATGTCTGTCTGCGACGTTACTAACTTGCAGGTTTGCTACTTGCTCTTTGTTCTTCGATAAATAGCAGATTTTTAGACAATCATTTGATCAGCTCATGTTTAGCTAAGGCGGTGTTTGGCTGCATCTTGATTTTTCGTAGAATAGGATTTATCAAATCCAATAAAAATTTGAATTTGTCAAATCTTCAGGGTTGGAGATGAATGAAAATCACTCTGGAATATAGAATAAATCCTTAAATTCGGCCCGCAATTGGATTTAGTAAATCCAAACTTTGGGACGGAATGTCATAAACAAAGACAGAACACACGAAATTTTGATTTAACAGAGCACACCTGTGTGTGTATATATATATATATATGGTAAAGAATGGTAGGAGGCTATTATACGAGCCCCCAATCATCCTCATGTGACAAACTATTTGAGGACCGCCCTCGCTACCGGCAAACTAGCTAGAGGGGGATTCGAACCCGTGATCTAAGGGGACTTACGACCTTCAAAAAGGCTGCTATCCCAACAGACCAAGAATGGTGTGTGTGTGT